ATTTAATTTTTTTTCCAAAAATATTCCATATTATGGTTATTTTTTGTTTGGTTCGAGAGTGTTTTACAAAAACACCTTTTCATAGCACTATATCTAAATTTGAAAGATGTAAATTTATTATAAATAATTAATTTTTATTAATGTTTTATATATTTTTAATCAATTTAATTAATTTTAATTTATTTTTATACATAAAAATTAAAAATTAAACTTTAAACATATAATTAAATAAATAATAATAAATAAGATTAAAAACTCATAATTTTATATATTAACTAAATCAAGCGACATTATTCATTTTAAATTTTAAACCTCCTTATCATTCCTCTAAGTAAAAACACATATAACCATTAATGATTAAACACAGCACTCCCTAACAAAACTCATCGTCTACCTAAATTAACATAATTTATTATTTACTCACGTGATAAATTGAATTTTTTTTAAATATTTTGTTAACAAAGCACAATTTTCCGAATTTCCATTTTAAACTTTAAAAAATCTGGTCTAAATCATCTCCCTCAATCCTAGGAGATATTCACAGTAAGGCATAACCCAGACCGACCTTTGCAACTGAATCTTAGGGTTTTTCCGAATCTTACGACATGACTTCTTTTCTCTCCCTCACACCGGCCCTTCCATCCGTCATCTCTCCGTTCACCGACCGAACGAAACCCCAAGTCACTCTCTTGAATCGGGGTCAATTCGGCGGCTTCCCCACTCACCGCCCATTTCTTCGCGGCTCTCTTTGCGTCGCCAGATTTGGGTTCAGACCCGGGTTGCTTCCCGACTTGGATGGATCCGAAGGGGTGATTAAGGAACTTTTTGATAGAGCTGAGGGTGTTCTGTATACCATTGCTGATGCTGCCGTGTCTTCTTCCGAAAGTGTTGCTTCGACCACCCAGCAGAATGGCGATTGGCTCTCCGGTATTACCCATTCCATGGAGACTATACTGAAGGTATCTGCTTGCTTCATCTTCTGAAGAAATGTTTTTCTTAAGCTGAATTTCGTAGATTAGATAGAAAGATGGATTTTTTTCAGTTGAATCATGATACTGAATTTATATTGTTTTAATTCAATTCAGGTTTTGAAGGATGGGCTATCCACTTTACATGTTCCATATGCATATGGCTTTGCTATTATACTACTTACAGTTCTTGTGAAGGCTGCCACATTTCCTTTGACTAAGAAACAGGTTTGTTTAATTGGAATTGTACTGGAAAATGAAGTGTAAACTCGTTTGTTAAAGTTTTTATACTTGTTAGATGAATTTTCAGTTCATACGTGGTCTTCTGTTGGGTTGCTGAGTTCTGTCCCACCAAAAAGAATATTAATTTAACCTAACGTTCATATCATAAGGACAACATTAGTTCTAGTGATGCAAAAGTATTCTTGAATGTTATGCAGGTAGAATCTGCAATGGCAATGCGCTCTTTGCAACCACAGATAAAGGCAATTCAGCAGCGGTATGCTGGTGATCAGGTGACATTTACTTTTTCACTCTTTATTATGTGTAGTGTATTTTCTATTTCTTTGAGCATGAATGATCCCTATTGTTTTGCTCCATAGGAACCATATTGCCAGTGTAATTCAGAAATGGTCACATCATAAACTAAGCCTGATGCTTAGTGAATGTTCAAAAAACTTGTTCCTTAATGTTACTTTATTGTCTGGACTATGGTGAGGTCATTGTAGCATTTAAGTTTGAGCTCTTTTGCTTTAGCTGACCAAGTTTGGTGCTTCATAAATTTTTCAGGAAAGAATTCAACTTGAAACTGCCCGATTATATAAACTAGCTGGGATTAACCCATTGGCAGGTAATAATGATGCATCTTAAACTTCATTGCAATGTCTGTTGATTTTCATTGATTATTTAGATCTGCATAATGCTTAAGGATTTTCATGATTTATTTCCACCGTTTGGGTAATAGTTTTTTCAGTACTTTTGTCTTCCCTTTCCAGTACTTAGAATTGTCATGCCATTATGGTTGATGCCTCTTGTGTTTAAGTGGACTACACATTAATGTCATTTATCTATAGTACTTTAGAGCTTTTCCCAGCTTATAGGTTGAATCCTTATGCTTTGGTCTCTTTGCACAGGATGTTTGCCTACACTTGCCACAATACCAGTATGGATCGGGCTTTATAGAGCCCTCTCAAACGTGGCCAATGAGGTAGAACACTATTTTTTTTGGTTTGTTGTTTGTAACTTGTTATATTTATTCTTATGTGTTTCAGTAAACTTCAGCATCTAATTGCATTTGCACCTAATATTAAGGGACTCCTAACAGAAGGCTTCTTTTGGATACCCTCCCTTTCTGGTCCAACTACAATTGCTGCTAAGCAAAATGGAAGTGGCATCTCATGGCTTTTCCCTTTTGTGGTAAGTGCCTTTATTTGTGGGAAGAGTTGGAATCTGTCAACTTTTCTGAGATTCATTCCTTATCTTCTATTTCAGATATGATTCCCACCTTTTTTTTCTCCTATCCTTGCTATCTCTTTGCATGTCTGTTAAATTAAGTACCTCTGCTTCTTGACCTATATATAAAGTTTCTTCATGCTGAAATGCTGATGCTTATTCCATTCTTGGTGTCATTTTTCCCAGGATTGGCAACCACCTCTGGGATGGTCTGATACTTTGGCATATCTTGTGTTGCCTGTGCTGCTTGTTATCTCACAATACATCTCTATTCGAATTATGCAGTCCTCACAGGTTGGCCAACTTTCTTGCCCATCCAATGTCTCTATTTTGTTTTTTTTTTTTGGCCAACAATTTGTAATGCCAGTTGAATTGTCATATCATCAAGAAAATTTCACAGTGTTTGTGTTAAATGCTGCTCTTGTTTGGATTGCTCCTTGTTCTGTTATCATGTTTTTAGATGACCTTGTGAGGTTTGACTTCTATTAATTTTTTAATTTATATTTATCTGTTATCATATCTTTTTCTTTCAGAGTAATGATGCAAACATGAAGGGCTCTCAAGCTCTAACAAACTTCCTTCCATTAATGATTGGTTATTTTGCTCTTTCAGTTCCTTCTGGTCTAAGCTTATATTGGTGAGCATAAATAAAGCCCTTCTGTTCTGAAATTTGGAGTGTCTTTTGGAGTTCTTTCTTCTCATAATTCCCCACCCTTGTTTTTTCCTTACACCTTAAATTTTTTTTGCAGGTTCACAAATAACATATTAAGCACCGCACAACAGGTATGGCTTCAAAAGTTAGGCGGTGCAAAAAATCTGTTGGGTCAACAAGACGTCACTCTCAAAGGAGAAAGTAAGCCCTTCTTTGATGATATTAGCAAAGAAGAGCAATCACATAATCAGAAGTCTCTCACAGAATTGAATTCCACCAGAAAGGCAGCCAAACAAGAAGAAAAGTTGACCTCAGAGGGGTTACTCCCTGGGGAAAGGTAATTTATTATTTGCTAAATTTCTTGTATTTACTCAGAGTGGAGTTTGTGGTCACTAAAGTGCTTATGTTTTTTCTCTTCTTCTTTTCTTCCTTTAAATTATGTTTCAGATTCAAACAGATAAAGGAGCAGGAGGCAAGGGGAAGACAGAAAAGGGAAGAAGAAAGGAGGAAGGCTGAAGAGGCAACTGCTAAAGTAAATCAATTAACCAATGGTGCATATGAGGGAGAGGATGGTCCAGTTAAGAAAAATGGTGTTGCAACTGGCTTAGGGGATGAAAAGAATGAAAAACTTGAGTCTGTCGAAGGTCAGGATTCCTCCAAAGTCGGTGTTATTTTGAATGGTGATCTCTCTAGTCAGGACATGAATGAAGATAAGATGACATCCCCACTTAGCAAGGAAAACAGTGAATCATCAGAACATATAGAGAAGGTATTTGAATAAAACGATACTCAAACATACATCAATGCCATTTGCCATCATTTCCAATTGTATTGATTGCTTATGTAGCTTATGAAGTCAATGGAACCCAGTGGTTCAATTGAGCCTCAGCCAATTCAGTAAAAGTGTGGGCTTATTTAACCTTTGTTGTCAAGAGAACTCTCAACGTCAGTAAAGTGTGGGCGTATCTAGCCTACAATGTCAATAGAATCAACTGGAGCAAATAACTCGTAAAAAATGGCAGAACAATTGAACCTCAGCCAATTTGGTAAAGCTGTGGGTGTATACAATTAGGTTTGGGTTTATTGAATTCATTTAATGGTCTCGCAACCTAATACTTTAGGCTGCAAAAGTGGAAGCTAGCTTTGGACCTCATAGAAGATTTTGAATAAAATAAAGAATATCTGCGTGTGGTTGTTCATAGAATTTTATTCTCTTTATTTTCTCGGTGAACTGGCCTGATTTATTAGCATTTATCTATACATATTCATCTATTTGTTCTTAATTTTCTGTCATTTTATCATTAAACCTAGATAAATTTACTAATTATGCTAATGCCATTCACAATATTTTAGGAAGAGTTTGAATCATATCCAAGTGCCGCAACTGGAGATAACAAGCATTTCGAAGATAAACATCTTCAAGCCGGGAGAGAGTGACCCAAGAAATAAGAAACAGCTCATCCCAAATTCATCCATGGCAACAAGTCAAACGATTTGCCTGTTGGGTTGGATAGGGGAGCAGCATGAAACCAGTAGTTCGGTCCCTCATCAAAAGTTCAAACAGCTCATCAGTTAGGATTTAACATGCGCAAAATGGAATGTGGTTTGCATATGATCTTGTCTCCTTAATGGATATACGTTGTCCTTGGTGAGGTCTCTCTGGCTGGCTCGACTTGCATAATTTCCGAGACAAACGAATAGCAAAAATAGCTTTGCAAATGAACAAGGGACAGTTTTGAATCTTCCTTTTGTATTTGTGGCAAGAGATCACATGTAACAAAAATCAGTAGAGAGATCAATTACGATTCCTTTTACTCCCTTTTACCACTCTGTTCTGACCTTTCCTTTGCTTCTGTTTTTCCGAGAAAAGGCAATAGGCTATTCAATTGAAGTTGTTACTTTTCGTGTATTGCATGCAAGATTATAATGCACTTCCAAGCTATATAATTACAGGTTATAAATTTGCGCATCAACGTGTATGTACAAGATGAAATAATTCGAAAGCTTGATAACTTTTTTCACGACTCTCCTATTAGAAATGATGGCTGTGTTTTTTTGTTGTTAGGAGAACAAAAGCTTTATGTTCCCAGATATGGAAGCGTCACCAAATCTGATGATATCGGGGTTGTCCTTCCTGAATGCAGCATTTCTAATGTGCTGTCTGCCCCATAACAAAAGTCATCCTCAGTTTCATGGTTTCAGGAGCAATAGTCCTGGGAACATGATGCAAGCATGAGCCTCCTGTCTGTGTCAATCAAACAATATCATTTTTGAGAAGAAGGGGCAACTTAATGTACTAGAGGTTGGTCAGATTGGTAAGGAGTTGCGTCAATGAGGCTTCAAGTTAACGTTCATAGTATTTTTTCGTAAATGCAATTATGTCGTGTTGTGACTTTGTTTGTAGCTATGCTGTACTGGAATGTTGCCAAAAGCGATCAAGTGAAATTATTTGATTTAATGCTGCTATCAATAATTATTGCATGTGAAAAAAGTTAAGAGGACAACTAAAATGAATTGAAGTTGAGGAGGGTTTGGGGGTTTTTTTTAATGATATTTCATGAAAA